TGGGCCTGAGCACTGTCTCTCAGCTCTTCAGCTCAAGGCTAGCACTCTACCACTTGAGCCACAGCGCCACTTCTGGCTTTTTCTTTTTGCTTATGTGGTGCTAAGGAATCGAACCCAGGGCCTCAATCATGCAAGGCAAGTGCTCTACCACTGAGCCACCTTCCCAGCCCTCATTTACATATCTTGAAGGCTGAGCTCTGAGAATAGCAGTTCAAATCCAGCCCAAGTAGGAAAATTAGTGAGACTCTTACCTCCAGTTAACCACCATAAAGCCAGAAGTAGAACTAGCTCAAGTGGTAGAGTTCCAGCCTTGAGCACTAAGGGATAGTGCCTGGGCCCTGAATTCAAGCCCCAGTATTGACATACACAAAATACATATGGTATGTGTGTTTACACAACACATGTCTGCTCATGTGCCTGTGTACTGGAGTCCTAATTGAATACAGGGGCTTTTTCTTTAGTTACTGGTTTCATAGCATCAGATTAAAATAATAGACCCTTGAGGAACCATCCCAGACTGTCCCTCTGCCCTCCTTCCTGCCCAGGAACTGGGAGGCCCTGAAAGCAGTGAACAGCTCCCACAGGCCTGTGTGAATTCAATTCATGTGACTGAAGATTCTCAGGCACAGCTTGAAGGGTTTTTTAATTTGGTTAATCAACTAATCACTCCTTATATCCAAGTGTGTATTGGGGCACCTGTAACTTTGTATATGTTGAAATATGTACAAGAAACACATTCCTTCTCTGTTAGAGTCTAGTATTAGAGACCAATGTAAGAATCTTAAGTCCAGTAAGTGTTCATGTAACACCTGTCCAGGCTGCATAATTTGCTGGTACAGCCACACAAAAGTAGGAGAACAGGAACAGTGAAGTCACTACGCAATCATAGAGCCTGCAGGAGAGAACAAACCATAAATATTTTAGAGCACTTACCTAGGTACTTAATCAATTTTCCATATGTTGGCTTCAGAGTTCCATAATGCTGCTGCTTCTCTTAGAGCAAACACAGAAAGAAGCAATGGAGTGAAGGCCCCTATGGCCCTGTTTGAACCCTCCCAGATAGGCCCAACCCCATGGCCTTCTGCAGGAGGAAGGCAGTTCACAGATCTGACCTTGAAGCCAAGGGAAAGATTGGTTTGGACAGGTAAGGAGCTATTCTGCTACTCTTCTGGTTCCTCCCACTCTCTCCTCTGCTGATTCAATAAGAAGTGGTGGCTTTGGTCAAAATCTCTCCTACAGGTCTATATAGATATTTTAGTACATGGCTCTGTTTTTGTTTTTTTATTTTATTTATTTTTTTTATTTTTGGGTCCAGTCGTGGGGTCTAAACTCTGGGCCTGGGCACTGTCCCTCAGCTCTTCTGCTCAAGGCTAGCGCTCTACCACTTGAGCCACAGCGCCACTTCCGGCTTTTTTCTTTTTGCTTATGTGGTGCTGAGGAATCGAACCCAGGGCCTCATGCA